CGGTTGCTTCTGTAATGCACCCCCCATCTTGATCATTACTCCCTAAAAAATCCTCCCATTAATCCCCCTAAAGTAGTAAGATGCCAACATCACATTCATTGTTGCCAGATGTTAATACTTGTAATTACAGTACGTAAACAAATAATTAGTAAAATATTTTAGATATATTAGTCATTATTTAGGAAGTAATATAAATCATTATTAAAAATCTAACTTTCAACGATAGATTTTATGTGCATAAAGAAATGTATATGCTAAAAATAACAGGACCCGATAAATTATTATACTTTAAATCTTCCAGTCTAACACTAATGCTGGTTGCTTATATTTCTACGAGTTTTACCAAAGGAAAGAAAAAAAACATAACGTAGCTAACTACTAAAGTTAAAAGAGTAAAACAATAAAACTGTTTAGTAATGATCAATAAATCAATACATTTGATGTTAGTTAAATATCTGCTAAATAATACTTTTCCTACATTATCAACATACCTGTACTTCTGGCAATAACAAATATTAGAAATTCATATTCTTTTTAATTTAATAAATAACAGATTTTAAAATATTTTATATCATGCATAATTTTATCAGTTAGATAATATACACGTATGTTATGTGATGTAAAAAAAATTATGAAAAATGTTATATAGCAACTTACAATAATGTAATAGATGTTAACATTTTGACATGCTTACTATGTAGTTAATTGATGATGTATATTTTTTTTAATTTAATTACATATATACTTACCACTATCAACACTAGTGAATGGCCCATGAGTAATTACAAATGTATCGAATTCGATAAGAGTTTGAACTTTTAAATACATTTTAGGAATTTCTGTTTCTATACTATCATCGTGTGGATCGTCTTCAATAGAACTATGTTTGACTACTGCAAGATAAAATGAACATTCAATCTCGCATGGAGAGTTTTCTTTTTCCTTAAATGCCACAATCTAAAATAAAATAAACATTTTAAATATGACTAGTTTTCTTATTTTTAATTATGTTATTAGAAATTATGCGACTCTATACATACCAAAATAACCGATGGATGTCTGTGTAATTGAACGAACATACGATGTCTACTAATTTTGGACATCGGGTGATCTGGATGATGCAATACTGGTAAACGTTCAGAAGATGTAGCAGGTAGATGTTGTAATGTTTTTTCACATCTTCTTTGTGTGATCCAAAACCTACAATAAAAAAGTTTATAATACATCGAGATTAGATACTTCCCTTTAAAAAAATACAATATTTATTAATATCAACAGAGTAATGTATAAAGTTTTACCGTAATTCTGATATAAGCGTTGGAAGTTTAGAATGATCGCCATTCAATGCAGCAGTTAATTCAGGCACTAAAGGTGCATCATATTGAGGTACATGGCATTGAAGCATGCCCGTATGAGTATCTACAGTAACTAAAAGAAGTTCTGCTCTTAAACATGGCTGTAATACTGGCACTGATAAAATAGCAGGGGATCCTGCTAATGTACCTGTAACGATGCATAACGTATGTAAAGAAATAATCTTATATTATCAGCTTTGTGAGTATCTTCTCTTTCATATATATATGTATACTTACATTCAACATCTTTCAACATCGCTTGCAATTCTTGTTTTAATTCAGAAAGACGACTTCTTGTTCGTATGTATATAGTGTGCACAAGTAAACACTCCATCGACAACTGATCCGATCTTATAGCTCTATCTGCTATTTCACTTTCCTAATTGATCATAAAGAATATATTAAATGAAACAATTATAATAGCTTATACTATAAAGTTATAATAATTTGATATTAAACCTTGCTTCCTAATGATGGTACATGTACCACAGCAAGAGGTCTTGCAGGATCATGTTGATCAACTTGTACAGTTAATCTGTATCCAAGTTCTGATCTGGGATCCTTACTAGTTAATTCTCTGAAATTAATATCATATAACACATATAACTCTGTTCAACTAGGACTATCAACGTGAACTATGGATGCATACGTGCGTCAAACAATTTTTTCTATCTTATAACGAAATCTATCTACATTAAAAAGTAATACAAAATATTTGAAACTAAATTAAGATCAAAATGAAACTGTTTTATATTAAGTACATACCTCCAATAAGATATAGATAAACATTTCCCAGGTGTATATTCATCTACATGTATATGTTCATCCAATCTATCACGAATTAATCTCAATGTTTGAGAATAAAGTACTTCTAATTGTAGCGATTGACAAAAATAATGAAGTATATGGTATACTTCGGACAATGGATTAGAACTTTCTGCTAATCTAGATTGCACAACCTTTCGTAAAAAAAGAGAAGTAACACATTATAATATATTATTTATAAAAAATATAATAAAAAATGTTATAAAATTATTCACCTGATGAACATATCGCGTTTGTAAAGAATGTACCAATGCTTTTCCATCACCCGTTTCTCTATCGGAAACTAAAATTTCCAATTCCAGTAATCTCCATGGTACTGTTGGACCATCTCCCATAACAGTAAGGGAGACAGAAAATTCTTGTTCTACTAAAAATGTAACCCTACCAGCCTCAATCTAAACGACATCAAAAAGAAGAAAATAAATCCAAGAAAAACGATTCAAATCGATATTCCTAAATGATAAATTATTTTTTATAAACGTACCTTCAAATTACGCATTTGTGGAAGCAAATTTCCGGTAACTAGTCTGTGTTGTATTACTTGATTTAATCTTTGTAAAGTACTTCTTTTCTCTGCTGGTGTAATAGGATCCGGAGGTACTATTCGTTCCTGTAAAAATAAAACTTAAATAATCGACCACTAATTATTAATTTGTAATATTTAAATTATTAAGTATTATATGTGTACATACTCTGATACAAGCTGGTAAACGACCATATGTCCCAGTAGTAAGAACCTCTACTGCTGCAGGAATATGAAAATTAGGTAATCTAGCATGTACGAGTGTTTTTCGAGCCATTCTTGCGAGCATGTCAGCAGTATCAACAAATAGTAAAGATTGTTTATCTAAAAATGCCATAATATGCTGTAACATATAAAGACATTTTATATATTTACATCAATTAATTAAAAATAATCAATAGGATAATATAAGTGTATCTACTTACAGCTGATTTATCCACTTTAGATGCACTGTTTGCCCATTTTACCAATGCTAGTAAACGGACATATAATTGTCTTGTTCTAGCAGAAAAATTATAAATTTCGATCTTACGTTCCATATCAGTCTTACGAGGCAATCTACATAAATAAGTAATGCATTATTCAGTGTTTCTATCATTTAAATTCGTAATATTATTAAGTAAAATATTTGCGAATAATTATTAAACTAATTAAGTATATATTCAAGATATCCTGTAACTGGTGAACGCGTAGTTGACAAATTTTTACATTTGTTTTTCTCTAAAACAAAACTTTATATTAAAACATTATATTCTACATTATCGACTTAGTTTTCCACGTAGAATCATTCCCTGCTTGCTTGTATCAACGGTTACAGGACACCCTAAATATGTATAAATTATATATATATAAATACTCACAATTCTGCTAGAACAGTAAGTTCATGATAAGTACGTTGTATAATAAAATCTATTAGCAATCCAAGATTAATAGAACCACCACGATTACCCTCCTGGGGTATATTATTTGTTACAGGTGTTTGATGCCCTTCTAACGGTACTGGTGCCATTTTTATTTTGTATTATAAACAAGATAATGTCTTCTGTTGATCTTGAAAAGGATAACATGAAAATATGTAACAATAAATAACTATAATAAGAAATAATTTACATTATGTAATAATATTAGAATATAAATTAGAAATAAGTATTAAACTTACGAATCAAATGTATTTTTTGTTTATATGTAATTCTAAATGAATAACTTAGAATTACAAAGCTGCAACGTTATAAATACTTTGTATATCATCAAACCAGAAAAATTTTCAACTGAAATATTAAAATGATATTCAATATGATCACACTGTGTGAAAAATGCATTATATTCAAATCAAAACGCGTGATTTTTAAGTACTAATTAAAAAAGCGTATACTCTTTCAAATTATGAATAATATGATATTGCAAATATGTTTTAATTTCTATAATAATTAAATTATCGAATTAAAAAAGTACGTAGTAATAAATTTATAAATATAAAACAAATGTACAAAATTTCATTTAAAAGAAACAAATAAAACTTAAAGTAAAATGATACAATATGTTTTCTAACGTTACCAAATAAATAATAGTTTAAATTATTAAGTAAAAAATAAAATGCAAATAACCTACTTCTAATCAAACAACACTATTTTCTTCCGGCATGTTTGCTTCTTTACCACGACGTATTAGAAACTGATTTCGACTATGTTCATAACCAAGAGGTGGTACCGACTTATAAAAAATTAGGGATCCTATAAAAATTGACAAATTGTTTCTGTGCGAATGCACGTTGCTATTTTACCAGAACTTATACTTTCTACCACATAAGGTTCTAGTGATTATTTTTGGTAATGAATTAAGGTTTGATAACAAAGAGACTTTATTACTTAATACAAGATTGAGGTATAGACTAGTTATGAAAGAATTATTATTTTTTTGGATTATACGTGCACGCCGAGCAACGCGCGCCTGTTCAATGCGTCTTTTCATATTGGTGTAACTGTCAACCAATGAGATGTTAGTGATCAACTGTGGTTGATCGTTGTACTATCTAACGTCACTTTCTAGACGTCCTATGTTGACTAGCATATGGTATGACCTCTACATTTCTGTTCCAATCAGATGTTACGCATAATTATTATGGGAATGTAAACATAGATAATCTTATTTATAACGTCCAATAGAAAACAGTAATTTCAATTAATTTTTTGAAAATATCTTCTAGCAAATCAACGCTTAGAAACTCAATTGATGAAGTAAAATTATACAAATATGTAACTAAATATAGCGCTGTTATCACGTTATCCCATTGGTTGTCACAACACAGTCATATACTAATTGTGCATTCCATGTTCACCTTGGCACGTCATTCACGGCCGCTCACGCGCGGGTTCTGTGAGGATATTTTAATTTAAGGAAAAAGTGCCTTTTATATGAATTGCTTAAAATGGGTAATTCGGTATCAAATATAGACCCACAAAAAGTAGAAATTCCAGAATTACAAAACTTATTAGAAAGAGACCCATATTTGGAACCTTATAAAAATGATCTACGTACAAGGTATCTTTATAAAGTTTAAATCACCTTCCTAATCAGTCTATCATTTTCTTCTCTATTTTATTTATTTATTATAATATATAAATTGATTATCTTGCAGATATGGTTTATTTAAACATTATTTAGACAAAATAGAACAAGGTGATGGTGATTTAAAGAAATTTACCAAAGCATATGATATATACGGGATTCACATTAATGAAGATAATAGTGTGATAGCAAGAGAATGGGCCCCTGGTGCTCAAGAATTATTTTTAACAGGAGATTTCAGTAAATAATTTAACTTTATAATCTATTCAATTGATACATATATATTTTATTTATACAAATTTTAATTAGAATTAAATAGAATAGAATGTTTATTAAGTTATCCTTGCCCAAGGGCTTAAAAACAAATACCGCTATTCTTAATTTATATCATTAATTACTTTTTTGTTAAAGATGGTTGGGATAAAACTAAAACGCCGTACAAAAAATTGGAATACGGTAAATGGGAATTACAATTACCTCCAAATCCAGATGGCAGCTGTCCATTAAAACATCTTTCTGAAGTTAAAGTCATTGTTAAAGATCATCATAATGAATTGTTGGAAAGACTTAGTCCTTGGGCCGTATATGTAACTCAGCCACCAAATCGAAGTGAAGGCACAACATTTAAACAACGTATTTGGCATCCCAATCCTGATCAAGTAAGATTTACAAATAAAATATTTATTATAATTAAATTGTATTAATATATATTACCCTTTTTCTCTTAGGTTTACAAATTTCATCATCCTAAACCAAAGAAACCGGAAAGTCTTAGAATATATGAATGTCATGTTGGTATCGCTACAGAGGAATTACGAGTTGGCACATATTTGGAATTCGCTAAAAAAATAATCCCACGTATTGTAAAACAAGGATATAATACTATACAATTAATGGCTATTATGGAACATGCTTATTATGCCAGTTTTGGATATCAAGTAGCTATATATATATTACTTTTTTCTTTATTTATTTTAAATATTTACATTAATATTTATAAATTTATTTTGGATTATAATTAATAGGTGACTTCATTTTATGCTGTTTCGTCTCGATATGGTACACCAGAGGAATTAAAGGAATTGATAGATGAAGCTCATGCACATGGTCTTTACGTATTATTAGATATAGTGCACTCACACGCGTCCAAAAATACTTTAGATGGGTTAAATATGTTCGATGGTACAGACAGTTGTTTCTTTCATTCTGGAAATCGTGGACAACATCCACTTTGGGATAGTAGATTGTTTAATTACGGGGAATACGAAGTATTACGATTTTTACTTTCGAATTTATGTTGGTACATAGATGAATATGGCTTCGATGGATTCAGGTAAAGATAATTTTTTCTATTTCACTATACATTAGATAATATTAAATATTGATGTGGACTCGCAATTAACATAGGTTTGATGGAGTTACATCAATGCTGTATCACTCGAGAGGTTTTGGACAAGGTTTCAGTGGTCATTACGATGAATATTTTAGCTTAAACGTTGATTTTGAAGGTGTCGTTTATTTAATGCTTGCTAATTACGTGCTACATGATCTGTACCCTGAAATTACTACGATAGCCGAAGATGTTAGTGGAATGCCTGGTGTATGCAGGTATTAATTCGAATACAGTTAAATATTTATACAATATTATTATATATTCTTCGCACAAATAGGAAGCTGATGAAATTAAATGATAAACAAAGTCTACTTATAAGCATGATTATTGTAATAATGTATAGAAGTTGCATCTCAAAAGAACACATTATTTTTAAAGACCAGTCGCTGAAGGTGGCGTTGGATTTGATTACCGACTAGCAATGGCTATACCTGATAAATGGATTAAATTATTAAAAGATGTAAAGGATGAAGATTGGAACATGGGTGATATTTGTTGGACGTTAAGTAATCGTAGATGGATGGAAAAAACAGTTGCTTATTGTGAATCTCATGATCAAGCTCTCGTAGGAGATAAAACCATAGCATTTTGGCTCATGGATAAAGAAATGTATACGCATATGAGTACAATTACGCCTAGTAGCATAATTAATCGTGGTATAGCTCTTCATAACATGATCATGCTTATCACACATGCCTTAGGCGGAGAAGCTTATCTAAATTTCATGGGTGAGAGTTCTTTTGATAGTGCTTCGTATAATTATCTTTATAAAAAGTAGATCATGTAGAATTTCAATCATATTTTTATTCTATATATATATATATATATTTTTTTTTTATCACAAGTAATATTATCACAGTAAGTTTCTTTTGATTTTTATTTAAATACAGACATATAACATACTTTAAATATAAAAAAATATATACAATAAATAACTTAATTTAATATACAAAAACTAATTTATTTACATATAGGAAATGAATTTGGTCATCCAGAATGGTTGGATTTCCCTCGAGCTGGTAACGGAGATAGTTATCATTATGCAAGAAGACAATGGAATTTAGTGGATGATGATTTATTGAAATATAAGTTTATGAATAATTGGGATCGCGATGTAAATAATTTAGAAGAAAAATATGGATGGTTAAACGCTAATCCTGTACGTATTATAAAAGTTTGTCCGACGTTTCAATGAAATAATAAATATCTGGATTTGTTTCAGGGCTATGTTAGTTGGAAACATGAGGATGATAAATTAATAGTTTTCGATCGTGCTGGACTTACGTTTGTATTCAATTTTCATCCGACAAAATCTTTCGCTGATTATACAATAGGAATGAGGCACCAAGGAGCACATAAAATATTATTATGTAGTGATAATAAAGAATATGGAGGTGAACAAAGAGTTGATAATAATGTTAAACATTTTACGCAACCTGAACCATATTCTGGGCTTCCATACAGAATGATGATATATATTCCTTGTCGTACAGCTATAGTTTATGCACAAGGTACATATGTAACGATAACTTAATTAACCCCTTGCGTTATAACCATGTGTGAGACTCGTAATGCACTTTACAACCAAAGAATAAGAAAAACTACTCTTAACGAATTTTAAAAGCCAAACATAAAAAACATCGAATATAACAGACTGCTCAGCACGTTAAATCATAATGCAAGAGGTTAAGAATCTATATAATATTATATACTATTATTAATAATCATTATTTATTTTTAGAAACCTAATAATTCTATATACAGAAACGATATACATCGTTAATTGAATAACGTAGTTTCAAATAAAATTATATTTTTGGGGTATGAAGATAAAAAAAAATTTTGTAAATTAAAAATTAATATAACAAAGTTCTATTTACTGTAAAATCTAAATGTTTATTCAACTATGTTTGTTTCAAATTCTTTGTTATTTATATCGTAATTTATCATTTTTTTCTCCATTATCCACCACCTATCTAAAAATCCTATATCTATTATCCTTTCAAAAAAATCTATAAAATGCACTCTTATATAAGGACACACAGCTTTATAGAGAAAACAGTCTCGGTCGTAATTATCTAACCATATTATAGAAAATATACCGAAATTCGTTCTTCTTAAAATACCTTCATTGACAAACCGTTCTATCGATTCTATATGTTTTACCGATTCTTCATTGCGGATATTTTCGCTTACTTGCATTAATATTAAAGAATTCATTAAAAAGTCATTTCGATAAGCTTCTTCATCTGGATTATGTTTGCATAAATAATATGTAGATCCTAAAGCTAAAATTCAAGAGAAAAATTATATTTAGTGTACAAAATATATGACCGTGTTAAAACATACCTGTAGCAAACATCGATGCGCGTATAGGACGTGTTTTACAATCATTTATAGTATCGACAAAAACTTCTCTATAATCGATATATACATTTTTCCAATAATTTCCTACAAATTTCAATATAACATTCATGACATTGAACATAACATAAACGTATTAATTTATTAGGAATCATTACATAAATTCTTACCCCAACGTTCTATTATAGTTCCTTTAAATCTTTTTGGCATTTCATAATCCTTTACTTTATTAATAACTTTACTAATTTTCAGAGAGTACGGTTTAAAAATGAATTTAACTTTTTCACTAAATTGAATGCAAGCTCGTGAAACCATCTTAAATATTATTTAAATATTATAAAACTTAATTAAAACAAATAATTTCAATTATATTTTCTTAAATATTATAATCTTTTGATGAGTTTAATTTTGAATTCTAACCCCTATTCTGTCTTTGCTAGTAACAGATTCATAGCTCATAGATGAAGCAAGATGAGGCACATGCGCTCAGTTAGAAAGTAATAATAAAACCACGTTGAGAAGGTCAGGGTTAATAACACGAAGTTAATAACCATGTTAATAACGTAACTCTACAACCATGGAACCAAATAAAAAAGAGTGGGCCATAGCTATAGCTGTTGTTAGGGACCCTATAGGAGGGACGCGCCATACACATTGCTAGACTGAAAATTTGGGGGGACAGCTTCCGTTGCATTGCGCAGCCATGTTTATCTTTAGTATGTATTAACGGCTGTGGTTAGTTTAAGTTTAGAATACTTATAGTTTTTATTGTGATATTTATATTTAATTTTTTTTTTTTAGTATTTTTCTATAAGTGTAAGTTTAATTTACTCATTTAATAATTGCAAGTATAAATGTACAAACCTAACCTATAGCTTATCGTTTGTTTACAGACTAAAATGTTTGAATCATACGCGCGCTATCACGTGACTACAGGAGTTCCTGTCCCCCAACAATGTATATGGACCTTCCCTCCTATAGGGTCCCTAGCTGTTGTTTCCGTTCAGCGCCTTCTAACATCGGCAGGAAGAAGTTGATAAGGATAAAAAAGTAACGAGAAGAAATTATAACGAAATAATCACAGATCTTTAATGAATAGTCAAATGTTATATCTGTCTCTCTTACTCTCTCTTTGATGCTATACTTAACACTGCATAGCAAATACTTTTTGCTATTATGTTATTATTGTTTTAAATATCTATATTTTATGATAAACTATGGAAACATTTTGTCTTTTTTGATAAAAATTAAATTAAATTTATAAAATAAAAAATTTCATACTAAAATTATCAAGCAAATTATATTGATATTAAATAAGAAAAGAATAATATGGTACAAATATAGCAAAAGTAAACAAGAATCAATATAAATTGACTAGTTTCCGTATTATTAGAATGACTAAATGAAAGAACAATCTACAAAGTAGAAATTTGGGAAAAATTTTAAATAGGAATAAATTAAATAGATTCCAAAAGTGTGGTAGTATTTTTTTCTTTTTACAAATTTAAACATTTAAAAAAAGTGTATTATATTAAAAAATATCTTGATCTAAATAAATAGCAGAAAGATGAGTAAACAAATATTTTAAAAATATTCTCAAGATGTAATTAGAGCTGAATATAAAAGTGTACATTCTACTTCAATTAGAAACCACAATCATCACTTGTCATACTTAACATATTATTAACGATTTAAAAATATTTCTGTGACATATGCGTTGCATTATTTCATTAAATATAATAAATTTATTAGTATTATAAGTAAAGTTGTAAATAACTAAATGAAATAACTATGTGTCATAATCTTCATCGATATTAGCAGTATGAGTAAATTTAGATGTTGGATGATTAGTTGTACTTGAGTCGGAATTACTACTCGAATTCATAGGATTGACCTCCGTATAAAAATTAGGTTGACTAATTTGATATGATGCAGGTACAGAAATTTGAAATTCTGGTGCTTGGGGCGTAGCACAAACAGTAGATATATCGCTCGATGGATTGATGTTTGAATTTGTTATTCTTTCCTCAGTTTTAAAAACTTTTGGTTCTACTTTTATATCATTTAATAACAGATTTTGAGAGCTAATGAAAAAGTATATTATTAAAAGAAATTTAAACAAATAAAATAGTATATTACAAAAGAAAATACCTTCGATCCGAATAATACCCTGCAGGTGGACATGTAGTCGCATTAGAAATGTTTACACTTATCGGAGCAGGTGTTAAAGGTGGTGTGGGAACATCTTCATCGGGTCCTGCTACATCTGGTATCCCTTTTACTAAATCTTTAAGAAAATCAAAGCGACTTTCCGATAGAATACATTGTTTCCTATGAAGCATAATTAGAATAGCAACTTAAGTCAATTAAATATAAATAATAATTAATAATTTAATCTAGTATAATATTAATATAATTATTTAACTTACTTACATATGGGATGGGCTTAAAGTCTTAGCATTCTTGGCACTCGTAATTTGCATCGTTTTTGTAAGTAACGAGTGTACGAATAGTTCTAATGTTCTAGGTATATATGTGATTAAGGTAAACAATTAACAATTGTAAAATTAATTCTATTATTGTTATGATTATTATTATTATTATTATGTTTGTTTATTTTCTTTAACTGTTAAAAACATATTATAATAATGTTAAAAAAGGATATAAATTATGATTGGTACTGCTTGAGCAACTTTTCCAACTTCCTCATCGGTCTGCATAATTTTTTTAATACGACCCTGAGATGCATTTTTTAGGTTAAGTTATCTGTATAACGTTGCAACGATAATATGTAAAATAATACTCGATGGATAAATAAATAAAACAATTAATTATCATTTATCTAACATCAACAGATATCATTCAGACTTATTCGTGTTATTATAATTACTAATAATAACTCATCAAAATATATTATAGGTAAAATTTAACTCTTCCATTATTTTAATGCTTTATTATCAAACAATACCACGATCTAAAAAGAAATTTGTATGCTTACCGCTGGAAAACGAGCATTATATTTTTTCTTTTTACTTGGCATTATTTACAACTATTATATCCGATTAATTAGATGATATTTTTCGAAGAACAGAAAGGAAATGCACAATTCATGAAAATAATCGTTTATATATTGCTCGCACCAATCGACGTGTACTCAATCTTGATAAGCATCTCTATTTTCAATAAACTAGTAAAATAATTCGTGTTCGCTAATATTACCGTTCCTTGCATTGATTTTATATATATATCTATATATATATATATACAAATATATATATTACAAATTATATATATATATATTACATACATGCATATACATATATTTTTACATTAACAAATTTTTCTATCGATCTTTCTTTTTTACTGTGATGTAATAATTTTTTGTATGAATGGAAGTTTTTCTTTTTTAACAATTTTTTAAAAATGTCATTGAATTATTTTTATTATAAATTTTCAAATTTCTTGACCTAGTCATTTTTTATAATCTTATTAAATAATAGTATCTAATTATATTACAAATTAAAAGTTAATGAATGCATCAATGATGATTCATTTTCATGTAAAATACATAATTAATAATAAAATCACATGTAAATATTTACATAAAATTTCGATTTTAATAATATCAACTGAAAATATTTGACTATCTTGCTGAATCCTAATTGGCTGCTGAAGTCGCGCCAATAGCACAATATTTTGCTTATATGCACTCCACATGTATATTTACACTATTTAAAAAAACATTAATTTGTTTATTATTATTATTATATATTTAGAAGGATTTAATCAAATTTGTTAATTTACGGATTTTAAATAACCTCTTTTTATTCCGAAGAATCGATTATACAATCAGAGATGTTTGTTATGAATTGTTACGGTTGCTTTTAATCTTTCATTCGTGATAAATAAAACTTTGAGACAATTATAATTATTATTTATGATTTATTCTTAAATCTATTTGCAAAAAAAGAAAAAGAAAAAATATTTATAATGCCTCAAGAAAAAGGTATAATAAAAAAATAAATATAATATTCTTTAATGATGTGTTAACCTAAAATTAATTTTTAATAAATTAAATATTTTAAGTAGATTTTTTATTGTTCTATTTTCTTTTTTAAGGAATTTATTTTAATATAAGAAAATATCTTTGTTTTTATACCGTGTACTGACCAAATAATTGTTTTTGTCTTATTTTATTTAGGTGAGAGAAGAAATCGTGGACATCACTCAAATAAAAACAAAATTAATGTTGGAGATAAGGGAAGAGAAATTTTGGAAAGTATAGACGAAAATAATTTGGTTATACAACAGTTTAGAGGATATTCCAACGAATTGGATATGAAGCATGATAAATTTGAAAAGCTCGTTAAAATAAGTCGAGATATTACGATAGAAAGTAAGAGAATAATATTCCTTTTACATACATTAGATAAAGAAAGTAAAAGAGAGGCAGTACTTGGAGAAGCCAAATTGAGATTCGAAAATATGGGAAAAACTCTTTTTAAAAATATTGCATACGAGTTAGATGGACAGGATATTTATCAATATCTTAGAGCATATAAACCTGGCCTTGAAGAATATGTAGAAGCAATCACGTTCTTTCAATATTTACAATGCGGTTTTATGCAAGATTGGACTGAATTAGAAAAGTCATTGGTTTATACTGAAACAGACAAATCTAAATTAAGTTTGGAAAACTCTTTGCAACCAACACAAATGACACGAATGTTAATCACTCCGAATGAATATATCATGGGTATAGCAGATTTAACTGGAGAACTAATGCGAAAGTGTATAAATAATTTAGGAACAGGAGATATAACTAGTTGTTACCAAACTTGTAATTTTGTTAGAAATATGCACAAAGGATTTCTAGGGTGTACCAATGTTTTTAATAAAGACATGAGTAAAAAACTTTATACGTTAAAACAAAGTTTAACTAAAATGGAAAATGTTTGTTATACGATCAAAGTAAGAGGATCAGAAATACCTAAACATATGTTGGCGGATGTTGCAATTGGAGCTGCAGAGGATTATATGGCGGATGAAGATGAAGGATATCAAGTTTAATAAAAAATAATAAAAAATATGTAAAATCTAATTATGTATCTATTATCTTTGCATTTAAGTAGTAATAATAATAATAATAATGTGTGTGATAAATATATAATATCTTATATCTATATTTACACATTCAACAAACATTACTTTCATAGTAAATAATAATATTAATTTTTTTTTTGCATAATTTAAACGAATAAAAACAATTCATTGAATGTAAAAATATTTCTTTGTTATTCTTCCTAGATCAAAATAGTGAAATTTTATGTATATCAACAATTATAATATCGCTAATAATTTAAAATATTATTTGTAAGACTGAAAAAATATTAGGTTTGTCAATAAATTCATTTAGTTTTTTTTTTTGAGTGAATAAACAGCAAATACCATATTGACTTATATTGGCTAACTTAAAATTTGCATGTTAATATTATTACAATAATTTGTTGTTATACTGTAAGTATAACTTTTCATTATTTCTATTATCTTAATTGGTTTCACTATTAGAATCCTTGAGATCACTGTCACTTTCATCTGAATCATAAAAATCATAGTCACTGTCATGGCTAAAATTTTCCATTTCTTCTTCAGTAGAGATAGTATCGCAATCAGATGGCTCATAATCTGATTCATCAACAGATTCATCGCTAGATTCTTCCTCCAATAATAATTCCATTGCAGGTACATATTGACCTCTTGGTGGTAAACATCGTTGTCGCATAGTGGAATGTTGAAAATCAGCTTTGTGTTGTGGATTTGTGCGATAGCACTTAATACCGTAAGGACACTTAGGTCTTTCGTCAACTTCTTCAAAATCAGGATCACCCGGATGACTGAATTGAACTTTGTGATGTGGATTCTTTCTACAAATCAAATTGAAGTATTTAATAAAATATATAAGAACAACATATCGACAAGATCTGCATACCTATAACATTTATCCTTGTAAACACACTTATTTCTTTTAATTTTTACTTGCTCAGTATTAGATATATTTGCTTCGTTTTGTTCAGGTGTGGACGAAGAAGTTGTTTCTTGCATATCTTGTTGTACTAAAGTATTTGACTCGTCATTAGCACTGAAAGGCATAACACTCTCCTGTTTAATATCTGCTTCAACTTTCTTCTCTTCCTTTTCTTGAATATTTGAATTTTCTTTAACAGCGTTAGATAAATCTGGATTTTCTACTTCCGATATTTGATTTGGAATAGTTTGATTATTCTCTGGCAAGCTATTGTTCAAAGAGAACAATCACGGTTTTAATAAGAGTATGTATTGCTTTTTTATAATAACATTTTTCCTTTTTTTTACTAATATTTATTAAAGTAAAGAACCTAATATCTATATTCTTGGAAAATGTAGACCCATCGATACTACTCCCTTCATTCAATACAGGTATCTCTACGACTGTAGGGTTGGAAGAATCATTACTATCTTGAGATTTGCTAGAACCATTGCCATGCAAGACTATCGACTTTTGAGATGCGTCGAAACATATTTTTTTATCCAGTGGTTCAAATGTTAATTCGTCGGAACACTATACCACAAGTAATATATATATATATATATATATATATATATATATACATATRTATGTATATTTTATCTAATTTGATATCTAGATGCAAATGACAATACTATAAGAAAAACCAAATAACACAATCAAAAGGTAAAGACCTTTCTTTTTAGTAGATGATTATCTTTCTCCGTCGTTTCAGACATAGTTACTATTTTAAACCAACATTTGTTTGATAACAAGGAACAAATATCTCCTGGCTTAATAGGAACAGATTTACCTAATTTAAGAAGATGCCATCGAGATGACCCACTTGATTTTATATAACAAGGCGAGACCTGATACTAATAAATATAATTCAACAAATCTAGATTATTACTTATATTATTCTTAGTTTTATGTTATTATTTTGTAACAATAAATAGAATAACCAAAACACATTAAATACAGTACATGATAAAAAAAAATAATATTAAAATTACAAACATGTTCTAAACATCAAGATACATTATTTCATTCAATTTCATTTACAAGTATATTTGTTAAAAGTGTATTTTAATAAATATTTATAAATATAATGTTATAAATCTTACCGGTGTTAGGGTTATATCACCACTCGGAGACAAATTAATTGTTACAGCTTGTTTAATGAACTGTTCTTTGCTAAACTAAAATTATAAAAGAATAAAATAAATGTAAATATTTAATATGTGTTAAAAAATATATATATATATATTATACTTTGTATAGAAATAATATAAACCTAACCTATAATAGAAAAATATTTAATATTATTTTAATCTATTTATCCACTTATCCACTTAAGTTTATATACATAATATACATGGGCAAGATCTACAATAAAAATAAAAATAAAAAATAATAAAAAAATAAGCAGAATATGTTATTAAAAAAAAAAAACTTAAAACACGGAATTCTACTCTTTAGATGTAGTTGTATAACTGTGTATAAATGCATAAGAGCGGTTAAGTGGTGCCACCATTGAGATTTAATGTAATTAATTTTTATTGTGTACAAAATTTAAAAATAATAACTAGATAAAAAGTGATTATAAACAAAAATTAAATAATTTTCGTATGCGATCATAATTTACAATAAAAAAGTAATAAAAAATGGATATAATATAAATTAAAAAATATACGTAGGAATTGTACTCACCCCTGTTTTATTATTACGACCAATAATATTATTTCCTATTTGTAAATTTGCTACTTGAAAACGATCGTCTTCGAATCGAATTATTTGCAGTTTTCCCATCCTTACTGTCCATAAGTTCTTTGTTATATAGTCAACTTAAAATAAGCGACTAAAATCAATTTTATTATACCATAAAATAATATTGTGACATTTTTTTTGTTTACTACGTAAAACAAAATAAAAACTCTACGTGAAGTTTTCGGAAATTGCTTTAAACCTATACGAGATGCATGCATACACATGCACATTTTAGTCTATTCATTTGTATTTGTATCTAATTTTTTGCGTATCTGAAATAATATTAAATAAAATACACGAAAATTTTACACTCAAATTCAAAAGGGGAAATTCAAAAGAATTTCAAAAAGGGAAAAAGTAATTGGGTAAAAAATAAGGCTTTCTATATATATGATAACAATGAAATGTTTTTTTCATTTATACTTACAAAGAATGTACATTCTTATAAACAAAGATAAACACGCTGAGAGAATTAGTACTACACAGTACAGATTTGATTCCAGATATTTTAAATCGTATCGTATCTTTTTTAGCGTGAAAAAAGTGACATAGAAAAATTGGCCAAATTCAAAACTTCACATTTATTTTATTACAGATATAGACAATATATGTAACCAGCCAGACGTGTATTATCATTGATTTGTTGATCGGAACTTTATTGAATTTGGTGTTGAAAAATTTTTCTATCGTGTATTCTTTCGAAGCATAAATTACGCTTTTTATTTTCTTGTATATTCTTATTATCTTTATCTTTATTTTTAGAACGCGCAGACAATTTTCTCTTGATCAATTCTCCATGTAAATATGATGAATGCGTTCCTTCGATATGCCCACAGTTTTTTTCAATGATCATTCTGTATCATTTTGGTGAATTTTTTTGATGTTATCGATGATGACCGCATTATTGGTTGTCTCGAACGTTAATCATCAATTAAAATAATACTATCATGTTTAAATTAAGTTTTTTTTTTTTTATGATGACAAACGATGAAATGAAAATTTCATAAATGGCGTTAAACTCCGATTTTATTTGCGCATGCGTATTGATTTTTAAATGCAAAAATTTCATTCCGGCGGGATATTTGATTTGTTTTCTTTTAAAAAAAAACTCTGACATAGAATAATACAAAACGACTGTTAAACAACAACAACAACTAATAAGGTTCCAAAATGTATTCAATTTTCAGATGTGTCTTTCAAAGGATATACAATTTTATTTATTGTTAGTATTAGAATAGTTTTTGACAAGTAACGTTAACTTCCAGTTGAGATTTTAAACTTTTTGAACGAACCTCGTAGAGTATAGTCAAATAGCTTTTTGAAATTAATTCTGGTCACATAAATCTACTTATATATAAAAATCATCATAAAATATTGCGTATTTATTTATCAAAGATATTCTAATTATAAATAAAAGCATATGTATATACATAAAAATTAAAAACAAAAGAAAGTTTTTAAAGTATTTGAAGCAATTCATCAATCATTACTTTTGTTTAAAGTAATATAATTAAATGATTAATGTGTGTGTGTGTATAAAACGATCGTTTATATGAATATATATACAAATACGAATTATTTCAATATGTTAGAATTGATTTAATGAAAAAATCGAAGTTAAAATCCATAATAAAAGGAAAAAAAATGTATATAATAATGAAAAAATAACAATGAAAAAAATATATATCGATAAAACTCTATAGTTTTTATTAAAGTAGGAACGTTATATGTATATACATATATATACATATATATATGTATTGCAGCATTTTCTCTAAATCAAATTACAGTCTAATATCTCCCGATAAATCTCATTTCAGGTTCATCTTCTTCAGTCATCGCTTGCAATTAATTGCATCCTTATATTTCATGATTTAATTTTTTTTTTGTGGTCTGCGCGCGATGGTATTTTTTTAAATATTTTATTTCTTTTTTTCTTTGTCTATGAGATTTTTGAAAATTTATATTAATGTTTCTGAATTACACAAAAATCAGACCTTTTTTGTTAATCATTATAAAATGATTATTTATACATAAGCTTTTTAACGCATATTCCAAATATATTGAACATGTAAAATATTTCTGAAAAAAGAATATAAAAAATTTTTTTGTATTTTAAACATTTCATGTAATATACATGCATACAAGTAACTGTAAATTATGTTAATATTAGTTAAAATTAGTGAAATAAAACTGCAATTTATTGCATTTGTTGTGAAAAGAACTATTCTTTTTCTCTCTTTCTATCTCTCTCTCTTTTTCTTGTTTTGAGATATGGAATGCAATTTAGACATGAGTGTAACCATTCATATATATAGGCAAGATACATTTATTTAAAATCCCTGTGTCTGTATTTCACGTCCCTGAAAGCAATCATGAATCTTGTTTGGTCCAGTAATATTCAAAATCTCTCTTTTTCATGTTAATTCGCAAATGAATAATGCTAAGCATCCAAGCTTAACATTTTACACATTATAGCGAATACTTATCAGTTTAGGTACTATTTTAATCAGAAAGAAAAAGAAAGTGTTGTGACACATATTTTCTTTTTTGTTTTTCCAGTAATTATTAACGACATATTTCATCCTCTGCCCTTCTTCTTTTCTTAAATGTAAATATGCTAAAAAAAATGCCCTCACAGGATAAAAGTCGACATTATTGTTTTACATGTCGTTATGTTCAAGCTATAAAAAGGAATCATTTATAACAATGCGGATAATCGCTCTATATGTTACTATAAATATTTTTGTTTATTTGTAATTATTAATTATTATTTAATATTATTTTTATCAATATTATTATTTAATATTAATATTATTTTATTATTATTATTATTTATATTAATAAATAACATTCGCTCTAGAGAACGTTCCGTTCGAAATACTGTTTACTCTTTAAATTTGCCATATACCTTCTAGGTCTTTTGTGTTAAGAATTTTCTTTTCTTCTCATCGTGGTACACTTCTGCACCTGAGAACTATATTGTAGCACTTATATGTAAAAGCTATCCCCGAGTTATGAAAAATAAAACAGTAATACTGCATCGTGTTAGATTATTTTATAAATTATCCTTGTATTTTCTCTACTTGCAATGAATCTTTTGATTATAATAGTAAAGAGGAATTTAAACTATACATATGTAAGATCAATATAAAATGTAAGTAATTATTTTTGAAAGATGGATAGTGTTATATTAAAATTCTATGCATTTGTAATACAGGTTACGATAGAATATAAATGTATTAAATTATCTTAATATCAAAATGTTAACGATACTAGAAAAGCACAGATAATAGAAAATAAGAATTTAAAATGTTTATTTGGAATGATATCAAAGCAATACACATTTGATGCTCTATAGATCTAATTAATTTTGCATAAAAGCATTTGTCTGTGCCATTTAAATATTAAGGCCATAGATCAAATTAACTTAATTATGTTGTTTCTATCACGTGTAATTCTCGTTAACGTTCTTTTTTTTTTGGAATGATCATATTATATGCCATCTATGTATGTATATCTTATAGCTCTCAGGTACAAAATTATTTTTCTTGTAAAATCTTTTTTTCACTAACTGTACATGTATGTATGTCACTATGCGATAGGCATTCCTCATAGAACTTGAAACAGAAGGAGCCTTTCAAATATTTAATTCCATAGCACGTTTATCGTTTAAGAAAATTTCATTCCAAATTTATCAAAGGTATTAATCATCTATTTGTTTACTTCGTCAATAATCTATTTTGAAAGAAAACATTAAGTTAATGCAGGCATTAGATTCAAGTTTGCAATGTACAATATTATCTTGTACTTGTCTATGTTTAGGAAAAATGTATGCTGATATTTGACAAATAAGATACCTAAATCAAGATATTCTATTTCAATGTAGTTTTCAGTTTTGTCTTATTTACATATTTTTCTGACTGATTACAATAATTTTCTATTCAATTCTTTTATATTCCTCTTAAATATATTATGTTCAAACTGTACTGCAGTATATATTCAATGAATGGTAAAAGTACAAATGTTTTCACAGACACGGAACTTTCAATATTGAAAGAGTTCTCTCGATAGAAACCCTTATATATAAATAAATTTCTATTGGTGGAATGACGCAACGGTATAAGTCTGCAGTATAAGACACGAATATGCATACATATATACATGTATACAGTTTGATTCTTCTTCCATTTTCCAATGAATATGTTCTTATAAAGGTTTTATGAATATAAATTTGACGGTAAATCGTTTGTCTTACGTGTAAAGGAGATGAAGAAAATGATAAATAATGCACGACTTTTAGCGATACTAAATGGAGAGGTGCATCAAGCCGTATAACAATTTTCTTCTATGATCATTGAACTATGCTAGAATAATTTTCACTTGGCCACACATAATACAAATGACGATAATGAGTGTGTGGTTGTAATTCTGGAAATTGCAATGTATAAGACGATGGGACATATTCATCATGATGATTTGATACTACATTTGTATCAGACTGTGGCTATACTATAGTACCCCCACCTTCTGCTGGACTGACAACGTGTAGGGCATTACCAACCTGTCCAATGCCTGGCTGGAATAAAACAAAGCAATTATTATTTCAAAATTTACTATTTTACATCCTAGAAATTCTGTCTATAATTTAAGGTAACTATTTTCTATTCTAAGAAATGAACTCTTGCAACAATATAGCATCGAAAAAAGTTTTCAAAGCTTAAATTTGTAAATACAAGATGCCTCGTAATACAGGCACGTTAAAATAAATTCTAAGCTAATACTATGCTCTATTTGTCATTATGCTCTATCTATCTAATTAAGCAATAAACGAATGAAATAAATGATAATTTATACGTACCATGCGATAACTCAGGGAAGTCTCATCCACGATTCTCTTGCATCAGCCAAAGCATTGGTACAGAACATTAATCTTTCCAATCAAAGTAAAAAATTAATGCCCCACCGGCTTTAAGAAACAAGCGCAAGCATCTTCCGATTAAATTATAAGACTGTCACTATAAAAAAAGCAACGCACTCTATATGAAAAATTTATTTCCAAAAACTGTGACTGGTTAAATATTTGTAAAAATATGAGTGAGCACAGGGTACTTTCAAGACGCAAATGCTGTGTGCAAAAAGTATCAGGAAACTTAATTTGACTACATAATTGAAAGTTATAAATTTAACATTCCTATAGTAATAATGTGTTCATGCGAAATATAAGAATGCTAAGATAAGAAGAATCATTAGTGAATGCTTCGAATGTATTTATTTTTTTGTCGCGAAACAAAAGTTTCCTGTATAACATTTGCATTGCACTTGGTAACAAAATTCAAGCAGGAAGCAAGCAGCAATTTTTCATTCAACTTTTTTGCTTTATTGTACAACAAGAAGGCAATTCATTGTTTTCAACAAAGGATTAAATGTCACATTATCATAGTTTGGGACAATAGTTCAGCTAAATAATTCGTTGGTTCTCTATGATTGGCTAAGCTAAGCTAATAACAAACATTTTATAGAAGAAAAAGAAGGGTTTAAGGGGCCTGCCCTGTTACTAGACCTCATAGAGCGCAAATATAGCGTTATGCATCTTTTTGATGCAAATTAAACATAAATATATTTTATTTATAATTCATCTAATGCAATTTTTTCTTCAATATTCATTTCGAATATATATTTTGACCAGACGATCATTAGGCACAGATATAAATGGAGGTCCATACTATGAATGAACAGACCTTGATGATATGCAAAATCTACTTTGTATTATGTTACCTGTCGTAACATCAAATTTTTGTATGAATATAGAAAGAAGTAGTTACCGTTAGTATGAAATTTAAATTACATAACTCCATTATTTCCTTATAGTAAATATATTACTGCATGAATAAATCTGGGTATAGCTATAAACGTGACTTCTAATGTTTTCATTCTCATTCCCATTCTCATTTCACTATCATTATCACTATCATTTTTATATACTCTCATTACATCAATTTAATTACGATTACACGTATTGCAAGCAATTGAAAATATCAAATATAATTTTTTTTTAAAGCTACAAAGCAAAAATTTAAATACAAATTTTTATTTATATAATAAAATTATCAACACAAAATATATATATAATTTTAAATATCTCTATTATTCATTTAACAACTGATTATTATTCCGAAAATTTTCAACTTAATATTTATCGACATAAAAATTTGTTCACTCATAGTAAATAATTGCCTCTACGTTTCTGTAATTAATATATACGTAAGTATAATACAAACTTAGAGAAAATATTTTTTGTTATTTTTAATGCTTTCTCTAATGGCACCTTCTAACACTTATTAACTACAGTGAACGAGGTGCGGTAAATAATTAATTGGCCTAAACACGCAATTCCATCTATTTACGCGTATGTCATATACAAAGAACACGGAAATGTGAAAATGTCGACCTATGATCTTCAACTATAACATTACTTTCTCTCTCTTTCTCTCTCTCTCTTTCTCTTTATCATTTTTAGAATATCAATTCTATATATATTTACATTGAATTTTATAGATCTCTCCCCTGCTTTAACAATCCACTTTCTCTCCTTTTGTAAGATTGATAGTGGATAAGACGAAATAAAGTATTAGGGATCTTTAATGGTCCTTTTTCAAGGTAAAGAGCCTAAATATTATTTCTATTTACATAGAAATTGACGTATCGATAATTAATAAATTCTACTTTATGGAGTTATCTCAACAATTGGGAACAAGTTACACATCAGAGATCGTTAGATCGTAAGGAATTGATATTGGTGTAAGGGATACTATGATGGTGTGGCCTGTGCAGAGTGTTGTTTATGGTAAGAGGACCTACCATGTGACCTGGTCTTGCCCATGTATATACGTATCCATCTTGACACGCGGTTACGAAGCAATCTTTCCTAAACACTAATTCAGTCAATCTCTCATGCGCCAGCTTTTTGCACACCAATGGCTGAAGGACTGGGCATTCGTCGAACCTCGGACAATAGGCAGTTCCTATTAATCTCATTGGATCGTCCAACACCGAACTGACCTTCTTATTTGCACCTACTAAACTTGCACCAACACTGTTCATATTACTACTCGAATTCGAGTTGGTGCTCGTTTTTTCCCCACTATTGTTTTGCACGACCGTGCTATTAGATGCACCACTACCTCTCATAGTGAGGCTGAAGTTCCTCTTGTGATTATCACCCTTACGTTCACCAAAACCAAGACCTGCTAGCCTCTGTGTCAATGAATTTACTGTCGACACTGCTGTGTTGGTACTCGCGCTATTGTTACTACTTTCATTATTACCACTCACGTTTTCCTTATAATTTATATTATTTGTATTATTCAGTTTAGAATTGTTCAAGTGATGATTAGCCATTGAGCCATTACCGCTATTATGTGTCCCCGAGGAAGTGAAGGTAGTAGAGCCTGCGGCAGAAGGTCTCTGCTTAGGACATACTGGTTGCCTTAATATATCTTCTGTGATGTCCCACAAACACAATTGGGTATCTTGCGATACGCTTCCAAGCCTGTAGCACGTACCACCTGGCACTCTCAGTTCAGACCCACTAGAGTTCCTATTGGAATGAACTCCTTGCGAACTTGTTGACAAACGATTTGACTTTTCATGAAAATGATTATGGTTATTATGAGGCATCGTTTCATCATCTGATCCGCTAAAGTCAGGATCTTGATCTCCGTATGATGTAGTATATGGATCAAATGCAACAACGCTCACCCAACTGTGATGACCTTGTCCACGGGCCACCACCCGTTTTTCATGAAAGCTCCAAATAGTTACAAGATCATCTTCTCCTCCAACTACCACGTATCTACCATCCGGCGACCAACATACGCACAAAAATCCACCAAAGTAACTTCTTGCAGATCCTAAAAGTTCCATTTTATTATATTGGAATACTCTAAGAAATCCATCTTGAGAAACAACTGCCAAGTTTGAACCACAAGGACTGAAGGCAAATTCATTTATGCAACATCCCTCTGCACCTATCACCCATCTGTACAGAGGGTTCCTGGTAGATTTAGCTTTGCACACGTATACAGCATAACCATCGCCAGACATAAATGACTGATAGTGAGGAGCCGTCGTTCCACAAATAAGTTCCTCATTATATAAATATAGTTGACCCGAACTATGAGAGACCAAGAAGAGATTATTTGAACCAGGAACCCATTTTATGCAAGTTACCTTACTTTTGTCTATTAGTCTCTGAAACAGAAAGTATTATATATTTACAATGATTATTCTTAGGTAATAATATGAGATAAAATTATCTTTCTTATTAACAGGTCATTGTTTATCTTAAAATTATTTATAAAATTGTATTTTTTGTTTATAATTAAAAAATAACACCAATGAAGTAAATGTGTGATGCCCCGCATTGGGAAGTAACACAAGATATTCAATGTGTGAGTGCAGTTATTATAACACGATAACATAACATTACATAATAATACCTATTAAGCTTAATTATTTAATTGGATTCTAATCACATCAATATGGAGCAACTCCAATTATTTCATGAAATAACTGTAATTGCTATTATGCGTATTGCATCAAAGAGTTGTACAAACCATATAACTATTATTAATTTTTTCTTATTTTTCATAGGGATAGCTTTTAAAAGCTAAGAGGAAATAAAGCAGAAGAAATACTACTCACAATTAAAGGAAACTACATATTTATAATTCCTGATATTTATCTAAACTTTCCTGTAATGATGTAGGTAATAAAATATTTATAAATGAAGAAAGAAAGTAATACGTACATCTTCATTATACAATTTACTGAATTCTTGTTTTATAGGATCTATCAATTGTATTTGTCCTGTAGAAAATCCTACTAATAATGGTGCACTATCTGCCGTTGCTGTAGTTTGATTAAAATTGTGGCAAGTCGGATTAGTTCCCTTATATGTTTTCTTTTCCACAGGATTGTTCAAATCCACTGCCTGAAACATTGAACTTTGCATCAATTTACTTTGAGCTTATCAGGAGGAGACAATATCAAACAAGAGTATATAAACTAATTTCTTCTATAAACCCATTTATTTGATGATCTTATCGGAAGGGATATACAAGAGTTTGACACTTGTAAAACGTATAATCAAACTCTATACTTCAACATGAGGTATAAGCTGAATTGCTTAAATGAAATATTTATTTTGGCTTGGTTAGGTCTTTCCTTGGGCTAGAAAAAAGTAAGAAAATAAAGAGTAGAAATTGGTAAATAAATAGCATAACGGAGAAGAATCATATCATAGGAAGAGCGATTGACAAGACAATATTAAAGATCTAATGGTAAAATCTCTAAGAGATGACATGAAGCAAATTGGTTCTCTTAATATTATTCGAATCAATTAAGAGAAGAGGAAGTTGTGCATAAAAAAGTTAATATATGAAAAAAAGAAGATAAAAAGCAGAGGTACAAGTGATGAGGAGTAAAGTTCAATAGAAGCAAAGATGGAGCCGACTCAGATTCTCGTGCTGCTAGACATTTTCGAGGTTAGGTCGGAACGATGTTTCTTGTCGTGTTTGGTTCCTTTAAGGAACAGAATAGAATTGTCAAGAGTTTGCAGGACTGTCGAACGTTATCTCAAATAATAATATGATCGTAAAGGAAAGTGTAGATCAATGGCAAAAGAAGGGCTTACCTTTTTGACACCACGATAAACGTAGACGTAGAGCTCCTTTCCGAAATTAAAACACATTCGGTCGTCGTGCTCTTGCGTAGCCCCTGAGGGATTCGAAGAGTCTGGCAAAGTGACGAAGGAAACTCTGACGGATGCACTCCCTTGGCTGTTGGTGTAGCCGACCCTGTTCGGCCTCGAATATTCTGACAAGGTCATCAGCTTGTAAGTTCCTTCCCGCGTGGCGAATTGTGTTTTCAAGACCTCCTTCCCTCCTCCATCCAGCTGCACAGCCATCTTACCACCAACGGTACGACGGAGGAGCTCATCAGACACACAGGGAAGAATCAGCGTTTCGTCGATTTGACTTTATTACTTGTATCTTCCACGCGACGTCCAGCGACGTCCAGCGACGTCCGTCGCGACGGCCTCCCTCCCTCCCTCTCTCCTCTCCTCCTTTTCTTTCCTATCTTTTCTTTCCCTTTATACTACACCTCTCTATACTATTACTGCTGCTGCTACTGCTGCTGCTGCTGCTGTTGCTACTGCTACTCGCTTGCTTACTTGCGCTTATCCACTCCCCTTCACAATTCTTCCTCACTCTTTCTTACACCTCTTGATTCGTTATTTCTCTTACCGATAGGACACCTATTCTACTCGGGGTGTCAGCCCCGTCGAGACTCTCAACACGTTTTTCGAACCTCCACTCTCACTCTCTCTTTCCAATCTTTCTCTATCCCTTACTCTTTTCTTCCTAACTACCTTCCTTCCTTTCTTCCTTCATTTATTCGTTCGTCCGTATCTATCTATTCGTTCGTTCTCTCCTTTTTTGAAAATTCGTCTTTATCAAATTATACAACTCGCCGGTTAGAGTTTTCTTTTACATATACGGACCACTGCACTAAATGTGCTCCAGCTATGACTTTTTTACGACGACGACGACGACGACGACGACGACGGAGGCGACGGTGACGGCGACGACGACGACGACGACACCACACATAACTGCCTCTCTACGTTTACGAGCCGCAGCTCCCACTTCAATCCCGTATCTAAAAGATCAAGCGCCACCGTGATAACCTCTACAAACAATTTCTTAATTTGAATCTTTCATACATTATTTTCTTTTCTGTAGTTTATGTCAATGTGTTATTTATCTCTCTTCCTCTTTCTTTCTTTTTTTCTCTTTGATTAAATATATATCGGAAAGATAATAACAATAAATAACAACAAAAGATAGAATTGTTATTTTATTTACGATAAAATTTTAGATAAATATTGTCGCGGCGCTACCTCCGAATATCTTAACCGTTGGTTCTATAGCTCGTCTACTATCCAACGTGTTTCGTTTCTCATGTGTCAAAACTTTCATTCATAAAATCCGTATCGTCTTTCTACGCTAAAGTTACATGTTCCTTCCTTTAAAAATAATCGATTTCATAAGATCGAATGTGTGTGCGATAAAAATAATTATCTCTTATTCGTGAATCGAATACATATTTTATTTAAATGTTTTGTTTAGATTATTTTTTGAATTATCTTCCTCCTTAATTATTTATCGAATTATACAACAGCTATGTAATACATAGATAGATTTGTTTCGTTTTATCTCAATGTCTTCGTTTTTAATTATTTTTATACAATTTAATGAATATCTACATGTAAAAAAATAAATTATTTTTAATTAGTAAAAACTGTTGTATATATTTTGTTATTGGATTAAAAAATTTCTGCATATACATACTGTATTATTTATTTCTTATAACGGTTATCCGTAATTACAATACATAATATTAAAAAATCAAACAAATGTCAACGATTTTTTAAAGAGATATTTAATCTTCTTCTTAAATTAATCTGTAATCACACGTATTGCGAAAGTGATTTCGTTACAATAGCAACATCTCCTGTGTTGCTTGGTCGTAATCTTCTTTGGCAGCTGTCGAACATTCAAAAGAGAGAGACAGACAAAAAAAGAAAAACAACAGATGATCATCATTTTAGGAGCGTATTTTTTTGTCAAGTTACTAACTATAATCGTATCGATGACTTTCACTGATAGAAATTATATCATTCGCCACCTATAGTTGTACGCTACTGGTGGCGCCGTGTATAATATTGAATGCGCGCGCATCTTATCGTCCCGTCTGTCACGACGAAGCTTTTCAGCCCCGTCAGGAAGCGGATATTTTGTAAACAAACGATACCAAAGGGTTAATTAATTTTACCGTTCATTCCTATTATGCCTTTCCCTCTTTTTTACCCCCACTGCATCATCGCTGACACCATCGCACCTTCACCCTAGCGCTCATTAACATTCGCGCTTATCTTTTTTTTTCCTCCTGTTACATTCTTGGATATAAGTTCCTCCCCTCTTCCATCTTACCCTCTTTCGTCTTTTGCGTATTATTAATTATTATTAATTTGTTTTTATACGAATGTAGTTAGAAATATTTGTGAATGTTTCTATTTTTTATTTATATTTTTCTAATTTTAAAAAAGGTTACAAGGTATTCTTTTTAATTTTCTTCTTTTTATCGTTCTGTTGTTCACATTCAGTCGCTCAACGATATCAGTAGATATTTTTTTTTAACTAATACTGATTGTTAAAAAGAAAAGGGTCGATTTGTTAATTTCTTATCATGTGATTCACGATTGGAGAAATACATTAGATAAGCACGATGGTAGAAGAGAGAAAAAAACATTCGAGTGAGATAATTTATCTTTCGTATAATACGCACTTTCTTTCTTTCTTTCTCTCTGTCTCTCTCTCTCTCTCTCACTCTCTCTGGATCGTACGACCGAACTAGAACATACACCGGGAAGGTTGCCTTTAAACACTACTTCCGGTTTCTAAATGATGATCAACTTCCGTAATGGTAGTTACTCTTATTATCGATAAAAAGTAAAATGACGACATGTAGGAAGTCATGTCTGCTTGGATTTATCTATCATTTTAAAATAGTGGGAAGATCAATATTTTGATCTGAACTTTCTGATGTGATCACGAACGATCGTCTATTATACTTTGTTGATCCAATTTAACCCAAAAGAAAATAAAAACAATATTATTGGTACGAATGTAAAGGAAAAAAGAATTGTCATTTAATTTAAATTTAAATCAATAATTATATCGATAATAATAAATACAATAATAATCTAATATTTTCGATAAAACGAATAGTTTCTAAGTGTTAAGCGATACAATTAGAACTGTAAAAATAGTAATGCTCGTATACCAATATACAAGTAAGCGTGTGATACTAGTATGCGTTTATGTGTGCATACGTAGATAGATATATGTATGCATATAAACGATCATGGTCACGACACAATGCTATGAGCCATGAGGAATAGAATAGACTAGAAATGATGTGTCTTTGTACAATAACGTATTAACCAAAGGAAAAACCAAAGTGTCTTATCGGGGGCACGTTACTTTGTATGTTTAGAAACGAAGATAACGTTTTTTCTGTTTTATTTTTTCTTTCTTTTTTTCTGAAATACTTCGAAAGTCTTTAAAAATTATGTTAACGTTTTCTTAATTAATTTTAATTAATATTAACGTTTACCGTATTCTCCTATTGATCAATCATGCAATTATATACACCTGACGTTGAATCATTTCCTTCCTCGTTCCTTTTTTTTGTTTCTTCTTTTCTTATATTGTTATTAATCCATTATATAGTATGATATCAAATGATCTTGACATTTTTTGACTCTCTTTTTTTTGTATTTTATGACAAAGTATTCAATGTTCGATTGTTGTTTTGAAAAGTTGTACTACGTAAGCGTACATATACGTATATGTATATATAATATATATATATATTAAACAATGGATAAGTTCTTGGTTCTAAATAGGATGACAGATTATAAGTACCTATGTAAAATTTCCATTAGATAGTAAAAGTATATTTACTACCAAGGAATGATGAAATAGTAAACGTGTATGTGTTTTATTGCAATCGAGGTTAACGAATAACATGTTTCACACAGAGGAATATTTTATAATCGCACTGGTTTATGATAGAAAATTTAACTAGGATGAGATAACGTCATCTTTTAGAACTAAATAGTACTATTTACGTAATTTAGCTAAGAAATGAACCCTTTTTTATTGTTTCTTTTATCGTTCATTTATAATTTCTTATTTTTAACAATTTTAACTTTTAATTTTATCAAATTAAATTATTTTAGAAATCAAAGTTATTAAAAATATATATTTAGTTATTTATTATATTTTTAATAATAAAAATATATGACACACAACATATAAACACTTAGCGTTTATATTTTGTTAGAAAGTTACATACGAAAGTTGTGATATAAATTTATTTTCCAATAAATATTCATTTATTCGTATCGTATAAGCAATATTTTCTAATAAACTTAAATTATTTCTAAACTTTCCAACGGTAGATACTATATTCTAATTTCAAACACGGTTGAAAGATGGCAATGCCTTCACTCTTAAAGAATACGACGAGGATTTAGCTTTAGAATGAAATATTGTCTCTCTCTCTCTTTCTCGTATATGATTTATAATTGGATTAAAATTTATATGACATTCTAATCGTTTAGATAAAACCTATGTTATTAAGATACACGTAGATATTTAGATACTGATTAATTTATTGCTTCGGTTTCCTCAGAAATAAAAAAGTTAGATATTTTTTGTCTTACTAATTTCACAATCCAGTTAAATTTCTGGCTTGACTTATACTTATGCATATAAATAACCTAATGTATGTATTTATATAAATATATATGCATATATTATAAGTATGAATGTATATCGTTATTTTTACTACCATTTATAAATTTCTCAGTTTTATTTTCTTTTTTAGCTAAATAATTAATAGCCAAAATAATGTTTTTTTCAGCTTTTTTTCATTTTGAATAGACATCAGATGGATGGAATTATCGTGTTACTCATCTTTAGAAAATGTTCTTTGTAATAAAATGAGTAGTCTGTGTTCAAATTCAACGAGATGAAAATTCGTTCGGAATTTTGGTAGGTTGTCTGAGTTGTAATATTTGATGTAAGAATCATATACTTCTTTTTCTCGGCATCTATAGATGTTTATTATATGTCCTATATGAACATACGAATTTATTGAATCTTTACTTTAAATTATTATCATGAATGTATGTTACAGTTAAATTTACTTTTTCATTATTATCTCGGAGTTATTTTTCATTTAATTAAGATAATAAATTATTATGATAAATTTTTTATTCTTGTTTTTTTTCTCATTTTATTATTTACAGATATTAAAAATAATTTGTCTAATTTGATGCATCTTCTATTTTGCAGCATACAAAAAATAACATTCAAATATCTTTTTCTGAATTGGATCTTAAAAATATTTAACTCCACGAAAATCCAATTTTACTTCAATAAAAATCAAGAAAGATGCTTAAAAAAAGTCCGTAACCGCGGGGAGTTTTATAAAGTTAGAAGACCTTGGTGAATCAGAGTCTAGGTCTTCCGAATGTCATTCAAGGTTTGCAAATACGTTAACGTATCAACGCAAGGAGAGATGCATTCTGTGTCACGTTGTATTTTACTTACGCTTTTCTAAATACTCCTCCAAAAAAGAAAAGAAAACAAAAATTCGCGCGTGAAAAGAAAAAGTAGGCATTCGGATTTTTGGGAACGCAAGAAAGGGGTAACGGAGGGTAAAGTGAAAGGGACGCAACCTTAACACGATTCTATTTCTTTCGATGCATCGAAAGACGTAGCAATAATTTTATACTGTTACTCTCTCTTTTTCTTTCTCTTTCTCTTTCTTTTTCTGTATCGTGGGGTTGCGTCGTGCAAAGACGTTGCGTGTGGGCGCTCAAACGCGTCACGAATAAGAAGAGAAGGAGGATAAAGAGGATGAAGAGGGTGAAGAAGAGAAGTTAAGAAAAGCCGATCGCAGCATCACGCAGAAAGGTTCGAATCAGAACCGAAAGAACTTCCATCGCGAACGCAGATTCTCTTTAAGTCGAATTCGTACGACTTACAAAATTCAAAAACTCGTTCGTTAGACGATAACAATAAATCGACCAATCGAAATTAATCATTTTTTTATCGAGATATCTTAGTTGATATTTTATTTAACGAATTTCATTTAAAGAAAGAAGAAAGAAAAGGAAGCAAAATGGTTTACGAAAGCGACTTTTACACGACCCGACGACCCTACTCGAGGCCCCTTGCATCGTCCTACAGCGTCACGGTCAGTATAATATAATTTTTCTTACATTTATGTAGAAATTTATATGTACAGTTTTATTTTATTTTATTATATACGTAAATATCCTAATAAACATGGGATTATTTTACCGATCGAGCGGGATCGAGTATGACTTAATAATGTTTTCCTGTATGCCAAACTAACTTTGTTCTTTTAAAGTATCGCGCGATATTACACACAATTTTACTGGCCGAGTTGTTGCCAGCTTATATGATTCTCAATTAAAAAAGAAAACCTTTCTTATTACTATTTTATATATTTTTGTCTATACGTGTACATGTTTTATACCTACTTACAATTCAATGATATATTAGACCCGGGTCAACGTTTTGCGAAAAAACAGTTTACATATATCTCCCTATTTTTTTTTCTAAATTATTATTGTTAAAATATTTAGAGTATTCGTTAGATAGAATTTGTATTTATTAGAGTATAAGCCTTGCGAATTGAATTGACTTTTCCTTTTACCATTTCTCTCTCGTCATTGTTGTGTCAATTTTCTAGGAAGTATATTTAACGATCGAAAATCAATAATTGTACGTGTATTTATGTTGTATTGGAATAATTAAAAAAATAAAACAGAATAAATGTTACAATAAAAATCGTATGTTTTAATAAGCGCGAAACGTTGATCCATTAGTACTTCGAACTCAAATTCAAGACAATTTGTTTTTTTATGACGGTTTTTCGGCGTTCACGAAATTTTGATCTCAACGGTGATATATAAAAGTAAATAATAAAAATAATAATAACAATAATCGTAGATCGATCGAATTCGATACATTTCTCGAAGTCTCTACTTCCATACACTTTACTCCGTAACTATACAAAAATAACTTTTATTACTATTCGTTGCTACTTTCCTATCTCCATTATTATTATTATTTATTACCCTCCTGTACAACTTCCTTTTTTGATCACTACTATCATTGTTATTTGTTACTATTTATTTCCTATTCAAACCGTCATCTTCATCCTTTCTTTCAACTCGATGCGTGCACTTGGTGTCTCGAAATTCGACTTCTTTTTTGTTGTCATTGGGCTTATCGATTGGCCGAAATCGAAATAATATCTCGTTTAAGAAAAACGATACGATTGGGCCAAATTTTGTTGATTGACATAATAACATCCAGTTTACGGATTTCATGTGATAATTTTGAAGAATCATACGACTCATCCAACGAGTTGTTTTATTTTCACGAATTGTCAACAGCACCAATCCTTACAGTGTCTGTTTGTTTGCTCTTTCTCTTTTTCTCTCTTTCTCTCTCTTTTTTACTTTCTATTTGTTCCTTTCTATTTTATTGTATCTAACGTTTCTCTACTCATGTTTGTTTCTTTTTGTATATACACGTGCATACCGTGAAATTGGTAAAGTTAAACAAAAAAGGTACATATGTTTTTTAATTTTTTATTCATTTTTTATCACGTTCATTTATTTGTCAATTTTTTTAAAGTTAGAGTGTGTTTTTATATGTAAAACATTGTTTTTTTTAAAAAGATGTGCTTATAATTTGATTTGTTTTAAAATTGTTCTCATGAACGAAGGATGATACTTCGTGTAAGAGGTAGGATTCATCAATGATTATTTTTTGTTTAGATTTAGTAGAATGAAATTGAACATTGAACGCGATCTAAAAGAGATTATTATATATATATATGTCTTACAGTTTATATTATTTTGATAAAATTTGTAATATTTGAAAACATTATAAATAGCGTATTGGAGAGCATGAGAGTCACATAAGTGATTCTAATAATAGTGTCGCAGCCATTTTCCGGGACTTTCAAGCGTTAAACTTAGATATCCCGATGACCCGGCAAATCTTGGATGAGTCTGTAGAAAAATTAATTTCGTCGACGATCTTTCAGAGAAGAACTCGAAGTAGAAATTCTTTAGAAAAAGAAGAAAAAAAAAAACAAACGAATATAAATGTCAATGAAATAGGTCGGATCGATGGGAGGAATAAAATTTCTCATAAAAATAGGAAAAAAGACGAGAGCTAGAGGCAGGGAGAGGGGGAATTATTTTTATCAATCCGAAATGTAAAAAATTGTAAATTAATATTTGTTATTGTTTTTAATTTGATTTCATTTCGTCACGAGACACTCGATTGATTAGAAATTTCCAACGTGTGACTGATGATTCGAATTGGCACGAGTATCCGACCTAAATTCCTTATTGTCTTTGACAATTTCAAAGATGTGATGTCAATCTCTTTCTTTCTCTTCGTCTTTTCGCAAGAGGAAAAGTGAGATGTAAAGAAAATATCTTATCGGAATACTTCGGGAATTTGTTGTTTCTATGAATAAGAAAAGACACGACGTTTCTTCGTAGTTTTCGCTGTTTTATCTGTGACTCTCTAAACCGACGCGTTTCTTCTTACATGAGTAGAGGGGATTCCGAGGATCGGTGTTGCGTTACCCTGCCCTAATTTAGACACCGACGATCTTAGCCTCGACGTTTTAACGTCGACTCCCACCACCATGAACAACTCTGTTTCTCTCTTTACTCGCGATTTCATCCTCACGGAAATTTACGAATGACTCTTTTTTTCTAATTGCAACTTTTATCCAAATATTATCTTTCTACAATATTCATTCTTCTTTGTCTCTTTACCTATCTTCAACATTTTATTTAATTTATAAGATTTAAGCAATTCTTAGTTTTTAATTTTCATAAAGTTTTTTTTATTTTTTTTTTGTATTAAATTCTTTTCTATTTAATTTACAAGATTAGATCAATATTTTAAACAAATGGATATACTTTTTTAATATATATTCATATGTTTTTAATATTAATTGATCAAATCCTTTTCTATATAATTTACAAGATTAGATCAAATCTTCATTTTTTAAAATTTATTTTTTATATTTATTTCATGAGTTTCTCTTATTCTTGGAACTTCGTGGAAATGTTTTTTCGATAATTTTCAATATCAGAAGAATTATTTCTTTTTCTTTATCTTTTTTCATATTCATCTCAATATATTTCTCGATAAACCTTTCCATTTTCAACTTTTTTCTTAACTTTTATCTATACAGATATTAACAATCTTGTTTTAATTATTTTTGGAAGAATGAGAAAGTCACATGTTCCGATACAAAAAAATCATTTATATTAATCCACAAGTCGTAGAATTTAAGCATTATGAAATTATCTACCTTCGCTATAATAAATCAAATAAATAAATAAAAAAGAAATAAAAAAAATTCAACACACGAAAAGAATAAAATCGAACGTAATAAATGAAAGCACGATAGACTCATGTCAGCGATATCAATGACAATGTCGAAGAAAATCATAGTTTGGACATAGCGCATTTCTCCTTCCAATAATAAAATGATGTTAACTACAAAAAAAAGAAAAAATCGGAGAAAAGTGTAATAGAAGTGGAGACATCGAAAAGAAAGCTAGACGAGTATCTAGCTTTTGAGGAAAATCTTTTCAAAGCTTTTCGAACGAAAGTACGAAGAGAAAAGAAATACGAAAAATGAACATAAAAGAAATATTATAAAAAAGGGAAAAGGAAAGGAAAGGTTTCGCAAGGCTTAATAAAAAGAAAGAGAGGGATAGAGAGAGAGAGAGAGAGAGAGAGACTATAAAAAAATAGAAAAAATATGAGAGAAAGAAAGAAAGATCGCCGTTGCAGAAGCCGGATTTGTTTCCTTGGGAGAAGGTACCGTTCGTACCAAGGCCATCCCTGGTACCGGAACCATTCACCGTTTGGGGCCGCAAGAAGCAGGATCCTAAGAAGGAGTTTTATCAATACGTAACCCTTAAGGAGCAGGAGGGTGTCGTTCGAGGAAAAAATCTAGCCAAGGAGGAACATACGAGACAACTTGTAGAAGGTGGTACAGTTTCGAAGGTTAACTTGGATGCGGCTGCAGAGTTAGCAACTAAAGGGCATGTATTTGAAAAGGGAGTGCTCTCAAGACCAGCCGGTTCGCATAGACATGCATTTGCACCAGCTACTGGTCGTACTAAGATACTTATGGCTCTGCAGACGCCATCTTGGTACCGCTTCTGAATATCAATCTTCAAATATTATATCTTTATACTTTAATAACGATTTTACCTATATCTTTATATCCGTTTATATATTAGTACAGTACATTTCAATTTGTATTACTTTTTGTAGAACTTTGTCACTTTATTTCGATAATAACTCGAGTTCCTTCTTCTTATTTAAAATTTTTTTTTTTTATAATATTTCAATTATATTATTCAATTATGTAACGTTTGTTCTTAGAGGATAGATGATATTTTCTTTTTATTTCATAAAAATTCGTACACATACATGTATTACACTGTGATAGAGAAATAAAATAATAGATAATTTAAAATAATACAAATTCGTTTGGTCGAATTCGTTTCTCATCAACGAGCGTTAATTTAACGAAAAAAAAATAACACCTGCGAATTAGATTGTAAGGAAAACAAACAAAAAATATGAGACGTTAAATTACTTGGCCTAAATAATTAATCTTGCCTGGCAACGTGTAATATAATAAAACAAACTGCTTTTGCTTTTGATGAAGAGAACCGAGACACCGAGTTGCTGCATTGGGTTGTGCGTTGCGCACGCAAATATGAATATTTACACATACATGCACATGCAACACACAATACAAACATGATCGCAAAGTTAAACATTAAAACATTTGAAATACTAAGAGCATACGCTTATTTCTAATTGTAAGTGTCCTGTGGAACACCATGCGCTCGCGCTCACGGGCGCATATATACGTCTGTGTATTTCTTGGCAAGGGCACACCTAACGTTACTCAACGTTAACGTTTAGAGAGCATGCCCTGAATGTTTTTCGGCAAGGAGACATTATTAATGCATACATACTTACATATATATATATATATATGTATAAATCTGTCTAGTATACATATATGTATATATATCTCGACGAGCGTTTATAATTGGCCCGTACGTTGTGTGTCTATAGACAGATCTTTCCTTTTGACTATAGCAATCGATCCGAAACACTGACCGATTTATTACTTTCTTATTTAATCTAACGTAATCCCCTTAATGTAAATATCCTACGAGTCCTATCAATCACTCGGTTCAATGTAAGAGCTGGACAGGGAGTAGAAAATTACGAATTAAATTTATAAAGGATAAAAATCGATCTGGTAGACTATATAAAGCTCGTCGGGCTAGGATATCGAAAAAGGATGGGGGGAGGGAGGGGATGGGGGAGATTGGGTAGACGAACTATTCAGTTTTAATATCGCGCTCGATCGTTTCGAGAATTGTAAAGAAAAAAAAATCAGAAAAAGAGACAAAGAGATAAAGAGAAAAAGGGGGAAAAAAGTAGAGGGCAGAGAAGGGGGTGTAAAAAAAAGAATTAGAAAAAAAATAAAAATAGAAAATAAAAAAATGACTAGTAAGGGGGCTAAAATTGGTTGGTTGTAGCTTTTTTGTGACCTTGTCTAACCCAAATCTATAGACGCCTCGGCATTACGTGGTACGTGACTACCCAGAAGCTGGCCTGAGGTCTGCCCAAGAGCATTACAGTTACGCGTACACCAACACCAGCACTTCTTCGTCGAGTTCCTCGGCGGATCCTTACTCTCGTCGTCCTCAGAGGTCTTCTTATACTGAGGAGAACGTCGTCAAGAGAGAAAGCGGACCTTATGGATCGTATTCGACTGAAAGATCCTCTAGATCAACAACCGGCGGCGGCCCAGGAGGCTATCATTCCTCTTACGAGTCCCATACATCCGGACGTTTACCTGGTGGTTCCACCTATCGTCACTATTCCTATCGCGTTTAAGTGATTCCTCCTCCATGTAACAACCCTCACGTTTGAGCCCCTCAAACAAAATTTATCTCCTAGTTATTTTTATTCCTTTTTTTTAATTCTTATGTTATCTACTGAAGCCCTCTTCCTCACCCCCAAACCTTTTCCCCCTTTTATTTCTTTTTCGTCTTTGGCTCAACACGTATCATTTTTATGGTATATTGTTTTTAATTCGTTTAATCTTAATTAAATTTCGTTCGCAAAATTCATGTATTTATTTATTTGTACTCAACTGTCGTAGGGATTTTTTTTGTTTGTCAAAAAAAAAAGAAAAAAAAAGAAAAAGAAAATGAACATGTTACTTCAATCATTGATGTTTATATAATATTATATATACTTACAATTAGAGTGTATCTCGTATTAACGGGGATCTCTTTGTGAAAATCTTGTTTATTTATATTTGTTGCATTTAGAAGTATATTAAAAAAAAAAAATAATAGTTTGCTTTAATGTATCGTGTGTCATTGAAAATAGCGTGATTTAACCATTTTAAATAAACAGAGATACATAATATGTCGTAATATATATTATTATATATAACGAAAAGTTTGTATCCACATTGAAAAATAAACAAAATTATATTGAAAAAGTGTATCGAATTATGGAAAATTGAAACGTTGTCTTATATCCTTTGCTAATTAAATTGACGATCTATTTATTTTAAGAATTAATTTGTATTCTATATAAAACACTTTTATTTTAACTAACCATTAAATCTATATATATTTATGTAGATGTGTATATATATATATATCTTTTGTCATCGAAGAGACAATTGATCGAGCTAATTAAATACTGTATTAACTCTAAAATATATAATAACTAATCGTAAAATGATTATAACATTAAACTAATAATAGAAAGGATTCTAATAAATCACGACTCATCGATCTCGTTGGACACACAACGCGAGAATCGGCCAAATTAGATAGATACATTTTTAGATACATGACATGCCTCCTCGCTGCTCTACTTTTCATACCAACCCCTCACACACACCACCTCACTCTATCTCTCTCTCTCGCTTTGCTTTCCTTTCTGATCCCTCTTCTATCTTTCTCTCTCTCTTTCTTTCTTTCGTTCTCTCTTTCTCTTTTACTTGACAATTAGCATATGCGATCGTATTCATAAGGATAGACAAGAAAACTGAGTGCGAACAATAGATTTTAGAATACAAAACGAAAAAATGAAAATGAAACGAAACTGCAGAAAACGACCAAAAAAATAAATAATAAAAGAATGTGAAAGGATAAAAAATGAACGAACAAACAAACAAACGAACAAACAAACAAACAAACAAACAAAAGAAACAAAGAAATATATGTAAATTATGATTTGTTATATTTATTATATAAAAACCATGGATAAAGCAGAAACCATGAGGCACACGTTATTATGCCAAAGCACAAGCTGCCTAAGTCACTAACCGAGTGTCGTTCTTCTTATTTTTATTTATTCTGCCTCCCATGTGACCCTCGTCCCCATGCCGCCACCGCCGCCGCCGTCGCCATTGCCACCAACACCAACCACCATCACAACTACCATCATCAACAACAACACTATTGCCATATTCTGACCATCGCCAACGGGTATTCGGCAATACCACTTCCGTTCCTGGAAATCGTCGTATAATCCATTAATTACAACTATCGTATCGATCGTATGCTTGTACGGACAAAAGACTCCTCCTGTTGTCCTACCACTATCTACTATTATTCAGGTAAGTGTTATTATTCAGGTATTGCTTAATTACTGCACCCATTCCAAATTTTTCCTAATTACAAAAAAGTAAATAGAAAAAGAAACTCAGAATTTTTGGGATCAATTCGGGATATTTTTATGAACCTCTTGAAATTGTTATATCCTTGTTTCGGATTGTTATTATTTAAATAATTTGAAAGATACTAATTTTGCTTTTAATTTGATAATATTATCATTTAACCCATTGACTGCCAAACATATTTAGAGCGTCTTGCCTTAAATTTTGAAAAATATAATAATATTAAGTTACTGATATATAATATTGTAATGGTATTTACAATAATGGAAAATTATTGTTTTTTACCCCACATAAATGTTTTATTCAACCTTTTTAATAATTCTTAACGCAAATAACTATTTGTAATTAATCTAAAATTACATCACACACTTCGAGATATCTCGTAGTTGGCAGTCAATGGGTTAATTAATATTGTGATATAAATTTTAATTTGATTATAGAGTGTTTTAGACTAAATTGTATTATTAGAAAAAAAAATTTCAAGTTCAATAGAAAGAAAAGACGTCAATGAATTTGAAGAGGTTCACTATGCAATATATCCCTATGCCAATGGCTAATTATATACGAGCTTGTATATGTAATAACTATAAGCTTCTATTGTTCACTATGCTACGCAACTAACGCTGATCTTTTAAACATACAATCGTATGCAAAATAACGACGCTTTTTCGCTCGCATTTAAACGTGATCATTCATCTATGCTTTATGTTCATACTTTCATCATGGATATGTAAATATTTCGGTCAATTTTTGACTGATTACCTCACCAGTGATCATTTGTCTTCATCATCGATTGGCTTTTTAAACGTTCGATATTGCTCAACATGCTCAACATTTCTAATGGCTTACAACAGTGCATACACACACATATATATATATATA